ACAAAATAGACAATATTTTTAAACACTTGCATTAATTGAAAAGACTTAGAGTTTGTACCATATTAGCTATAGGCAAAGAAAACAGATCAGCCGGATTAGACAAATTGTACTGTATTTGCTAACAAATACAGTACAACTAACAACAAGGTCATTATACCAACCGTAGAATTTACGAAATGCTGATTTTAAGTGAGGTTGTTGAAATCCCTGTAACATCAACTTATCTGTCAGGAGCCTCAGTTTAAAAATTGATAGTACTCAGGGCATTTTCTTGAGTATCTAATAAGTTGGGACACATAAAAACCCTTTTCAGTGATAGCAGAATATTACTACGTAAATTAGGAAAGTTGACGATAGAAAAGCTGAAGTCATCTCCTTTGTCATACAGTTTAGTTGTTAGTTTGCCCTTGGCGTCTATTGTCATTAAAACATTAAAATATGAAACAGATGTAACAGACCTTGTGGTGTCATTTATTTCGAGTTCACTGGAATACGTCGAGTCGATATATGCATGGAAATGACTATTGTTAATTGAAGAAACTGTCGTCGATATATCTGAATTTTGAGGTAAGGGCCGCAGATAGCGTTTTACTCCTAATTTTTACGAGAAATGTCATCATCTAAATATGATTTAATTTATTTGTGAGATTTACTCTTTCGTTATAGCTTTGATTGGATTTTGTTACAGAAGCACAGATACATGTGGTTAGATAGAAGACTACTCAGTCTATGAAACTGCGAATATTTCACCTCGTTGGAAGAGACATAACTGCTTTGAACGTGATATTTTTTAAAGTCCGGAAATAAGTACCGGAAGCTGCCTTTATTTAAAAAAGAGAAGACTTTACAATGTAAGATTTAAATGTAAACATTTTTTTTTATCACTCTGCAAATAAAATCCTTAAAACATCTCGATCAATTAAAACGATTTTCCTTTCGGAATTATAAAAAGGAAACAAAATATTAAGTAATTACAGTCGTCTATTTATTTCATTCAGAGATAAATGGATAGCAATCTGATATATGTATATACATAAATCAAGTACCTCTAAGCACGAGAAACTGTTCCAATTAAGATTTAATTCTTGATAATATTATTGATATATACATATGTAGAAATCGTTAATAGGATCCCCAATTTTTTTGTACTTTAATAATTGACAATTATAATATTTTCATTCTCAACAAATGTCACTGACCCACTTGTCCCAGAAAAGTATACATGACTTAGATACCCTCTATAAAAAACAAACGTCCCGACATGATTTTAAACATTAATAAAACCAGATGAAATATCTTCATAAGAGTGGCTTTGTTTAAGAGACAGAGAGAACCTATGTACCGGTATCTGCAAGATACTAGCATATAAAAAATAAACGCTAAAAATGACAGCTTTTTAAAATATCCTCTCAGATTCGTAATTCTTCATTATTCAATATCAATATGTATGGTAAAATTCCATTCAAAATTTTATTTTACATTTATTTTCAAACAACATGAGAAATGAATGTCGTTTATATACAGATCTACATGTACTGGAGGTTCACATGATGACAACTATATATCATTGTTCTAATCTTTAAACATAAATATAAAACATTTTCATTTATACAAGATCATTAGTACTAGTATATGAGATACGTACATCTGTATTTGAAAACATGATAAATAGCTGGTAACTTGTGTCAAAAATGGAACAAAAGTTGTTGATTACTGATTATCAATTTGTCGAGGAAAATTAAGATACAACTTGATATAGTCATTCACTGATTTTATTTCGAAAAATTGACACAAATATGGTATGTGCCGAAAGAGACTTTTTAAACTGTGAGTTATGTTAATTAAAAATGTAATGATGCTTTTAAACTGATAACAAATTTATATTTATGTTAAAACCTTACTAGTAGTCCTAGGCAACATAACAGCTCTGTTTGTTTCCAACATTTATAACAGAAAACATGTTAAGTGTAAAAAATGTAATCCATAAAACAATTACAAAAGAATTTGACTGGGAGACATACCAGCATCAAGGAAAGCTTGTTGACATATAAACTGTTTCTTGACTAGAAATGCAAGTCACTAAATTATTACACAACAGTGGTCTCCCAGCCACAATATTGTTACAACACACAGATGCGATAATGCGACATAATACTACATCAAACTTTATTGGAAACAAAAGTGATGCATTGAAAACGTCATCAACCCAACGAGTTGAAGCACCTCTCAAAATGTAATTTATATTAAAGGAAAAGATCAAGGCTAAATATGCAAATATGAACAACGATGGTTGTAAACAAATTTAACATGAGGAATATCTCCGTTTCACAAAACATACTAGTAGTGTGTTAGAAACAACATCCTCTAAATAACTTACTCTTTTCACATACAAGTAAATTTGATACGGCCTAGTCAAACATTTTAACTTGGTATTTGGGTTTGAAGTCATATCTATTAAACAGGCATGGCTCTGACAGGATTTGTTACAGACAAACAGATAGATAGAGAGCCATGACAAATCATGGATATGTTTCTTTTCATTCAAAGGGATTTATCTGCGTTTTAATTATTGATTTTTGAATATGTAATTAAGGGACTCTACCTTTTTTAAAACAGAAAAAAAAGACGTAATAAATTGAACGAAGATGTTTATATTTTCTAATTCAGCGAAGAACACCCTTTTAAAAAGTCAACACACACACACACACATTTTTTTTAAAATGGTATATAAACATTGAAAACAAAACTTTAGAAAATGGCAGTTGTCAATATCTGTTGTGATTTATATCATTAAGAAAAAAATATATTCTTTTTACTTGGGAAAATTTAATGATATAATTCATATCAAGTTCCTATCAACACACAGAGCTGTTTCAATTTAGATTTAGATCTCGATAATTTAACTGAAATGTACCATGAGGAAAAGGTCAATTTAACTGAAATGTACCATGAGGAAAAGGTCAATCAGATCTGAAATTTGTTTTTATGATTCAGAATTATAACATTTTCATTCTTAATAAATATAATTGTCCCACTTGTCTCAGAAAATTATAAAACCAAAGCCTCCGACATAATTTTAAATTTGAAGAACCAGATGATATTAACACGGTTAACAATTTAAAGACGGGGATATATCCACTGGATCTGCAAGATTTATCAAAAGTAAAGGCTAGAGCCGACCAATTTTTAAATATCATCTTAGAGTACTTACAGAATTATTATTTTCTCATTTGATCTTTACAACCGTTAAATCAGCATTAACAATCGCAAATAAACAAATGAGAAGATAGTATTTTGATTCTTATGCAGTTTATACATTTGTTCGATGTTTACGTCTTAGTTTTGTTCTATGAAATACGTCACGAAAAGTTGTGGTTTTGCATCGTTCTATTATATAACGTTACAATCTAAAGCTCTCATTCTCGTTTTATTAATACTCCTTTAACTACCTCAAACATCGGTACATTAACCAATCAAGATGCAGATTACAGAACAGTCGCATTAAATTTTAATTCATCAGCCATTTTTTGGGGGGTAAAATTTCGTTCAGAAGTATTTAACATATATTTTTCAATCCACAGAGGAGCAAACGAATGTCGTATATATTGAGATATATTAACATTTGTTGTGTTTTTCTACTAAAACACTGAAAAAATTGATTTGAATGCCATTTTTGTGTACACCCACGCGTAGAAATATACATTTAAAAAAAATATATATGATTTCAAAAAGTTCTAATATACACGTTACACTTTGAAAGAATCTCGGGAAAAGACATTTTTAAACTATTTTATTAAATTTTGCAAATTCATAACAACGTGGTTTATTTTTACTGATTTTCTATGTCCTTTAGAGTAATGCACATGTTCAATGATTGTTATATGACATGGTTGCACCTATGAAAATATATAACACTCGCCACAAATAATATTACATATTTTGAATTGGCCCGGTCGTCGGCAAGGCTTTTATGGTTCTTTCAACAAAATATTGTAAAACAGTGGAAAAAGTACTACACTAGGGGGAAAATGAATTTTACAAATGAATATTGTAAATTAAAACTTGACAGTGTAAGATTCAAATGTACAAACATTTTGTGCAGTCAGCAAATAACATCCTAAAAAAAACAACTTGCACAAAATACGTTTTTCCTTTAGGAAATAAACACGGGAAACGAAACATCATACAACCACAGAAGTCATTGTCTTCTTCTTCAGTGAAGATGTTGCTGCGTTTTCTGGTTCTTGCTGCTATTATCTCAGCTAGCCATTGTTCTACGCAATCTTGGCAGCTTCCAGAAATATTCAAACGTATGTATTTAATTTTTTTATTTCAATAATATCTAATTTTTCGAGAATGGCATCTTTATCTTTAACATTTCTTTACAAATTTTAGCATGTAATATGAAATGCACATGTAATTAAACATTCAATAATGTCCGAAAATTGTGTAAAAATTATACAATAACAATGAGCCATGCTAATTCCGAATATTATATAACATATCTGAAATATACTTATAACTATATTTTACTTTTAAAGTTTGAACTTTTAAACTTGTAGACCGACCTGAGTGGGATGCCCTGAGAGGTAATTAAGAAACGGAAATCATGCTTCCTCATACATCTGAAAGCTTTCTTACTTATATATTACATGCGCCAACCTACTACTTCATGTATATAAACTATTCCTTCGGTTCAATCAGTCAAAAAAAGGAACCTTGAATAAATTTATCGAATTTATTTGTAAATTTATTATATACTTTGAAATCACTTATTTTCGTGGATGATTTATTTTACATTATTTCCTGGTATGATGAAATCCACGAATTCATTTCCTCTACGTAATGTAAAAAAAAAATTACATTGTAAACTACAGTTTTATGTCTGTTTACAAAGAATGAAATTAAATCCACAACAACCTTCAAACCAACTTCCCATGAAGAAAATTGATTTTACAGTATTTTTTTTCCAGTGAAATGGGGATTAAATGTGTTTGATGAAAACAATTTTCGAAGTCTTCCTCGAAGGGAATCTGATGCACGCGATGCAAGATTTGAGTTGCTTAAAGATGAGTGTCAAGGTAATTAACACAATTTCTTGTTGTGTCCTTTCTCTTCAGGTTTATTAATTAAAATACATTTATAAGATATAGGAGAAATACTTGTGAGAGTTAGATACCGGTTTTTCTCTAACTCGAGTTCCTTAATCGTTTTAATTTTCAATAGACGCGAAACTTACCGAGTGTCTATTGACAATTGAAAAGTTATGGAACGAGAGTTGGAAAATAAATCGGATAATAACGAACACTAGTTATGGGACCTTTTCCCTCCTTTACTTCTACAAAAATTGTACATTACTACTGCACGGAGTTCTCATAAGTCTCCATTACGTAGCATGTCTTGACGTCTTAATACGTGTTCGACACGTGTTCAAAAACATGTTATCGAGAACCACAAAAGGAATCACTGTATGGAAGTGATGAAACATACAGAGGTAATGGGAGAAATATTTATCACAGATGCATGTATAGTTCTCTAAATAGTAGGGATGTCAATTTTGTCAATAATTCATATTCGAATATTCAATGAAAGTATTCGAATATATTCGAATATTCGATAAAAAAAAATGAAATGTTTTATTTTAAATATGCATTATCCTACTCTAACAAAAGGTTTAGCGTAGGTATTATACTTATATTGGAAGTAAATTTTATGAAGACTTTTGCAGTTGTGCAATAAGACATTCTATTTGATATATAATTTTATAATTTTAACAAATGAAACATATGTATGTTTAGTAGCTCCAACTGAGGAATCTGTCGTCTTGCCAAAGGCAAGATATAGTAGTAACGGTATGCTGTTCAGATTTCATAAATAAATTTCATAATAAATTACAATTATCTGCCTAATAAGAGATACAATTATAATCTTTGATACAATGTTTTTAAAGTATAAACAAATATTTTCATAGACAATTTTCCTAGGTAATTAATTAATTTCCCGATAATGAATATAAAATTCATCATAAAATTAATCATTTAATCTGAAATTGAGCGCTCTACAAAATTAATTACAGTGGACATTCATTTGAATGATCAATTAAATTTGTTTTGATAAGTATACTCTTCACGTCTTTTAGACATTCTAAGAAGTTTTTCATTTTGTTGTCCTCGATTCTAGACACGATTGTATTTAAGTAATAAAAACTATGAAAGTACGTTTTGTATTATACATAGAGCATTATTGTACAATTCTTTAACACTCTTACTCAAAACAAAATCCATGTAATTTAGTAATTCTATAAGATAAGAAAGTAGCGAAAGAAATCAGGCGATCGAAATTGATCGCCAGTAAATTAAAGAGGGATAATTCCAGCACTGTTCTAATCAAAATTTAATAATCACAGTACTTCTTTTTATGAAATCTGAAAAACACCGAATATTCGAATCTTAAATTCATATTCGAATATCAACGCATCGAATGAATATTCGAATGTTCGAATATTCGTTGCCATCCCTACTAAATAGACATTCATAAGAAATAGAAGATCTCAAGAATCATTGAGAAGCAATGATACAAAATATTGCAATATGTACTTTGAAACTAAACTAAATTTTTAACAGTTCTTTGAATGATTAAAAAACTTTTCAGAAATGGAAAGGGCTAAAGAAAGAAGAGAAGCACCAATATTCAAAGGAAAACGATATTGGAAAGATGGGGATCGAAGTGTCGTACTCATTTACGATGCAAACGGTTATATAGCAGGAATACAGGCAGGGGTAAGTAAAACAACGTATTGTACATAGTGTAGAATTGAGAGAGAGAGAGAGAGAGAGAGAGAGAGAGAGAGAGAGAGAGAGTACTTTAAATAGAGTGAAGAACGTATGTGCAGATATAGGATTGTAGTTTAATTTACAAAAACTATTCATTTTTCCAGTTGAAAAATTTAAGAAATCTTAATTGTATATATAGAATTGTAGATTGCATCTTTGAAAAGTGTATTTAAAGTAACGTCTTGGTAGTTATGCAACGCAAATGTTTTGAGCATTTATTTTTTTTTTTAATTTCTATTATTATACATGTAATTATTCTAATTTATTTTAGAGGATGAGCATCTTTGAGGAAATCTAGATTGTAATGTAAATTAATTGTAATCTATAAAAAATTCTTTAAAAAAGTAACTTATTCCTTTTCTATGTATATGCGACCCATAAACTCGGGAAGCAAAATAAGTCTTGAATTCCTTTCTTAGTGTATGGAATATATACGGAATCTCTCCTTCAGATCCCTAGAAGTGCTTTTAAAAGGGAAGACCAAAAAAAGAAATTGATGGGTGTACACTCAGAAGAAGAAGACAATTCCTCAGCACACATACCTATAGTTCATCGTAGGCGAAGACAAGCTAATACAGACCCAGAAACAATCTCACAAGGTAATAACATTTTCCCTCAAAATCTGACCCCTTTTTTATGGTTTACTTTTTGAGGACCGATGAGAAATATGGAAAGGTTCAAAGAGTCATTTTAGCAGAACCAAATATTAAACACAGCACATATAATATCATTACCCTTAATTTTATAATATCATTACACTTCATTTTATAACTATTTTATCCATACTTTATATTTTTCAAGAAGAGTTGGAAACTAATGTCGAAGATGGAAGCCTACCAATGTTTACAGAAACACAATACTGGAAAAACATGGACCTAAATGCGGTATACCCATACATTGCAGACAAGTTTTTAGCAGGAATAAGGACATCAGTAAGTAAAGCAAACGTTGTGTAGTTTTTAATGGAAAGCTTAAAGTTATGATGCAGGGGAGAGAGAGAGAGAGAGAGAGAGAGAGAGAGAGAGAGAGAGGAGATTGTACTTTAAATGATATAAAAAACATTTTCGTTGATACATGAATGAATATATTTCAAAAAAAAGTCTTTACCAGTAAATTAATTGAATTATCTTAATTGTTACATTAATTAGTTTAATACATCTTTTGTATGCTTTTTGAAACATTTATATAGTAAAACAGATTTTGTAGTTGCTGAGCACAATTTTTCTCAAGCCGTTTTTAGTAAATTTTCACGAGAATGATCTGAAGTTTCTCTAGGGAATTGTAGACTACATTATAGATAACGATGTACATGTAATTTAAATTCATATATTCAATGAATTAAATTCGACGAAAACAAGCAAATAACACTATTCTATATATATATATATATATATATATATATATATATATATATATATATATATATATATATATATATATATATATATATATATATATATATATGCAGTTCATAAATTCGTCTAGCACTATTATGCCTTACTACCGGTACTGTAGTTGTATTAATAATATATGAAGTATCACTTTTAGATGCCAAAAGGAGATTTTATGAATGAAGAAGAGAAAATGAAATTGAGGCGTATTCAAACAAAGGAAATATACCTTTCTTCAATGCCTTATTGGAATATCTTTCATCGATTGAGAAGACATACACATTCAAAACCAGAAAAAACGTCAGTGAGACCTACACCCTCAGGATCACCTCAGACAAAGAGACATAGTACAACAACGTCCTCTACTTTATTTTTAAAGAAATCCACACCAGCATCTTCGTTTGTAACACATAAACAGGCATTTAAGTCAACACCATCACCTTCCGGAATTCCAAGAGAATCTGGAGCATCAACAACATTTCACAAAACAGGAGAGTCATTTGTACCAACAGCAAAACGATTGGAAAGCGCAAAGGCCCATAAGTCATCAACAACAAAACAGCCTCTTGTGTCAAGAACACATCCTTTTGGAGCTTCAATGGAACCTATGCAATCAACATTATTCCTTAGACGTAAACATTTGGAGCAACAGCATACCCCTCTACGTTTTTCAAGAATGGCGGCAAAACAACTTATAAAACCACATAGTGTAGGCTCAGAAACAGAGTCTGCTTCATTAAGGCCAACCATTCCTACTCATCTAAATCATCCAAGAGAAAGAAAACTACTTCTATCGCACAACATGAATACACACCGTCCTGTTATCCATCATTCTGTCGAGGACGATGATGTTGTTTACTTCACTGTTTACTTCATTAATCCAGGTTTGATATCCGTGTACATGTACTTTTTTATTTATAAAGAAAATATTCAAATGTTATATACCAAAGTATTTATTAAAGAAAATAACTATCTATTTAATTGCTTTTTACGTTGAATCATTAAGATATGTAATTAATTATGCTTTATTTGTAAAAGTTTGGTGATCTTTTAGTGACTAGGTCTGTTGGCTGGATTTAGATCACACAAAGAAATTCTTAAATTTCTTGCATGACATAAAAACGATTTTAAATAAGTGTTTTCTATTATTATTTACATGAAATATGGAGATAACAAACAATATTCAAGCTCATATCCATTTAAATAATTCAAATCAGTAGCAGAGCAAACAGGGACCTCCAAAAACATCAGAGGCCGGATAAGGTGCCATGGAGGAATAAGCATCCCCTGTCGACTGGTCACACCTTATATGTATCACTTTAACACTTAGGAACATCAATCTCTTTTCTTTCTCATAGAGCGCATTTGTGACCCAGAACGTTCTAGATCTGTCGACGAATTTGAACACTGGGGCACTGGATCTGACCTTTTCATGCAGAATGGAACACATGTAAACTCTTTCATACAGATACCACGTGACGAAAGAAAACTTCAAAGTGAGAATCTGTGGAATGCTGAGAAATGCCTATGGACTCAAGGTAACAGTGGTTAGCTTCCATCTGAACAAATATGTCTGTTAATTAATTGATGAATCATACATAGTTATTAAATATTTGTTGAAATACGCATCTGTAAATTACGATTTTCCGTTTGGTGTGTCTATTTATAACTGGTAATAATATCTCAGATGATAACATCTATTAGAAGACATAGAAATATATTATAGACATTCTATAATTCTTTGGTGTAAAATAATTTTTTTTTTGAATTTTTTGGATTCTTTTGACCCATTTAAGTATGATAAAGTATACGAAGGATGAGATAACGATGACTTGCAATTACAGGCTTAATCTGAGTGAATAATGATACAATGTTTCATAATAACAGGGCAGTCATTATACAGGATAATTACCATTCAGTTAACTTGAAGGTGACCGACAGAGCTCTGCCATTAAGGACACACGCAACGTACCTTACCTACTGATAATTTTTCAAGATATTCTTAATTTAAGATTACGGTGCCATCAGATGTTCGTAGACAAAAAATCAGCATGCATTACCAGGGGTTTTGAAATGATATCAATTGATGAAAACTCTTGTATAATTCAAAGAAAAATATACAAAAATTATTTAACATATATTCTAGATGTTCTGTTTATCCAAACTTGTTTTAGAAGAAGTGTACAACAGCATATATAGACATTAAAATATAGCACACAGTTCCTTTAAGTATTGGAACTCTTCAACTCCAGGGAAAAAAACAATAAAGTTCAAACTACGTTGCGTATGTCCTTAAGTCATTTTCGAGTCCTTTCAGCGAACATTCAATTGACTGAATGGTGCAGGTTTATCCTGTTTTACTAGTGAATTATAATTACAGTGAAATTGGATCTTTCGTTGCTAACGAAGATATGGCAACAGGGCGAATCTCAAGTTACTGATAATGATAAATATCACTGAATTGGAATTTTCTTTACTAACAATTATATGACTTATATTTATAGGGCAGATCTATAGTTACAATTTCGATGAGAATCGGGATTGCCATACCCTGTTTCCACTTCTTCTGAATTACAACAGAGGGCGTTTGACGGGATTTGCATTGCTCTTTAAGATGGATTTTCCTTCTCCGTATGTGGAGCATCCTGACAAAGGACTTTTAAGGGTTTGTGTCATATACATGTATTTAAACCTTTTAAAAAACAATAAATTCATTCTAACTTCCTTTTCTGATTCAGCCATATAATTTTATGCAACAGATCTTGATTTCATGGAAATCTTGATGCTGTTCAGTATTTTTTTTTCTATATAATGATGTTTGGATATGAGAAAACATATTACCTTATGCTTTGGTATTCTTCTTCTTCATTTCAGTTCATGTTTAAGAAAGTTCCGAAGTGTTATTATGAGATTGGTCGCCTGACTAAGCTGCAGTTCTTCCTAACTAATGACTTTTTATCTCGTCGCTGTTGAAGGAAATGGGGTGTTGAACGGTCCTCGTAAAAGATGTACACGACTTGATGATCGCTTATCTTTTTTCTTAAATCTAATTATGTAGAACTCATGTCATATTAGTATTCTTTCATTCGCTGTTTAAAATTATTTATTTGATTTTATTCCATTAGCTGATCATATACATGTATTGATTAACACTTACTGAGTTTTAAATTACTGTATCAATTCTAGTCACTTTATTTATCTACTTATTTAAATATTAATCTCTGGTCCAGACAACATCTTTAGTCTGTGTTTTGTACTAATTTAATAAAAAGAATTTATTTCTTGTTTGAAATTTGAAATCAACACTGTTGGCGATGCATAACAATGCAAACACTGAATACATATAACCCTTTGTTCACAATACTTATCATTTGGTTTATTTGTCATTTCTGAAGAAATACTCCGTGGTAGCCGAAAACAAAGGAAAACTATGTCTGACGTGATAAAATTACATTAGTGACGTTTTGACAGCACTTTCTAGTTTGTTTTAGTAATTACTATGATATGCATGTATTTATGCGTATACAAGTTATTTAACATTTAGTGTACATTATATAGTCAATTGTGCATAGTGCTTGATTCGGTGTTTGAGCACGAAATTTTCCTAATGGTTTGAAATATGAATTAAGGAAGCGATTGCAAGGCGTCACGTGATCGACTCATGTGATGTTTAAAAAAAGAAGATTTACGGTAACCATTTCCGGAATAACAGGTGAATAAAGAGCGTGATTATGATTACGCCCATGACAAAAGGTCTTCGTGGCAATATTTTTAAAACAGAGAAAGAATAAGATAAAGATGTGATTTTGCAGAGTGTTGGTGAGCGTCGACGCAGATTATTTTTTTATCCCTGTGTTTTTTTCCTTTTGACACGTCTACCTTTTGTCGTAGTTCTGAACACTGAAATCTATTTCATGAATAATTTAATTCATATCTGGATCTTTATGTCCTCTAGTTTTATTTAAAATATTAGAATTTTATTTGAGATCGGTTTCTTTACTATAGGAATTATGTCGCATGCTTGACATGAACGTATTTTTAAAAATATTGCAGAGGAAATTGTTTTCATTTGTAAGATCTTCTCTAGCATTTTCAATTCTTACATCGACCATGTAAACATTGAATCGTCGGCACATATATTGCGTAAGCATTTGTTGTGGTAAAATGTTTTATGCGTCGTATTTGGTAAAAAATCGAAACTTAAACACACTTCTTCTGGCAGAAAAGAAAAGTTTCTTTTTGCAAGTTTTCACAAATCTAGCAAAAAATACGCGTGTAAGAATGACAGACGAAACTAAGAGAGGTTAACTCTGACAGTACTACGGAGGTACCAGGTATACCAGAGAGAGAAAATTATTTTGAGCATATAACGTTACATTAAAAAAAAACATTTAAACTCATCATGCTCACAGGAATATATTTGAAAAATGAATTAACTTTTTTTAAAATTCACGAGGACATGAACAAAGACGCTTCACCTCAGCAAATTTTACGAACCGCGTGAGCATGAAGCGCAAATTTATAAATGTCATTCACCGATTATTTTTGAAACAAAACAATTTGCACTATAGTTTTGACGTCAAGTGTGATATTATGACGTCACAATGGAGATATATGTAGGCTTACCTAGTTCATGAGAAAATGAATCTGAAGTAAAAATATTTGCAAATGTAAATATTTAAATAGCAAATCACTAAAATTTGTCAAATAAGATAATAGCTAGGATTTTTATATACAGTATATATTTCAGGTACAAGTTCTCTGAAATAACCTATTCATTCAATGTGTTCAAGTGACTCTACACCCCCCCCCCCCCCTTTCCGATTCCAAGTCACTGTGCAGAGAATTCGATGAGTGTTCAAAGCATGAACGATTTGGCCCTTGGACCACTGTGCACTGGCTTAGAATGTATATACCTATATTGATATAATATCGGAATGAATATTTTGGAGATGGGAAAATAAAAAAAAAATATAATGCATATTGTTGTTTTTTGTGTACACTCTGTTCGTATCAGGTGGTACATAATACTTTTATCATTCTGCTCTACGTATAAAATGAGCAACCACCACAAGATTTTCCGAAAAAATTATTTATTAATCTATACGTATTTTCTATAGTTTTTTAAACAGATTATGCATATTAAAGGTTCAGAAACAAACCATCAGATTAAAATTTATGAAATCTTTAAATATTTTAGGAAGGGGGGGGGGGTATTGAAATGCATGTAGCTTAAAAAAGAATGTGATGACCCCACTTCATATTTTAACCATAAGTCACTTATAATAATTGTTACAAAATATATTAATTTTAGGAATATTCATTGGGCAATTTTTATTCAAGACGTTGAAAACTGCTCTTGGGGTGAAAATATTACTGCAAATTTACAATGACTACTCCCCAAAGCAACTTTGGTATTACTGCAACTATCAATAGTTTCCGATACAGTTTTTATTTTCAATGAATATAAAGCATATTATTTAATATCAGGTGAAAATTATTTAATTTGTTTTAATTTTGATACCTGTATGGCATACTTAAAATTTCTCTACATAAATATCAAAATATTGAAAAACGGTGGTTTCCATGGCAACCATATCTTTCTTATAACCCTGATGACCTTGGTTGACATTTTCGTATTATGATACCATTAACGTAAGGCAAATTATATGTAAAAATGAGAAAAATTCATAGAGCGGATATTTTTCATGGACCCTTGCAATCTCTTCCTTAAACACATACACAGCTTGGTCTTTCATACAAACTATCACGAGCTCAAAATGATATACTCACTCCCTCATACACAGAAAAACACAACACTAATTAAATACAGAGAGATCAAAATCTATATAAATTTAGACCACATAATTGATTTCTTGGAATTTAGTCTAGGATGTAAATCTTATATGGTACCAATTTTAATGCACAAGATGCGCATTTCGACAATTTATATCTCTTTAGTGATGCTCATGCCGAAACGTTGGAAATTCGAACTATTAAACTAAACTAAAATAAGAAATATTTAAAATAAATCTTTTAAGAGCTGAAAAAAGGGGGCGGGGGATGCCAAAGACTTGGACCAAATACGTCAAAGGATCAGAGCTATGCATGAGGGAGATAATCCTAAATTTTGAATGATATATATGAAGATAACTAAAAGTATTCAAGCTGAAAAGTCCATTCAAACAATACAAATCAGGAACAGAGCTTACACGGACCTCTAAAACATCAGAGGTGGGATCAGGTGCCATGGAGGAGGAAGCATCCCCTGCCGATCGGTCACACCCGTCGTGTGCTCTTTATCATGATCGGGAAATAACGGGAAAAATCCGTCGACAATTCAGTGTGTAAATAATGGCCTAACAATTAGTATGAAAAACGTCAGTCAGCATTTGAATTACTTATAGATTTTATTTCCTGAGGAGGTCATTGTATTGACCATAGAACTTACGAAATGACTTAAAACGAGGCTGTTGATATTCTTGTTTCATCAACTTGTTTGTCAATAATTTTCCTAGGTTTAGAAATTGTTCATACGTATAGAGCATGCTATTGCGTATCGAATCAATAGAGAGATATAAACTCATTATGCAGTTGATGAGGTAAATTGCTGCATAAGTAAGGGAAGTTGACGATTGAAAAGTTAGTCATCACGTTTATCATAAAGATTTGTTGTTAGATTACCATAAACGTTCTTCTCTAGTAAAATATCCAAATATGCAACTGATGTGTCATACTATGTGACATCTTTTATTTCAAGCTCACTGGGATAAATCGTGTCGACATATGAATGAAAATAACTATTGTTCATTGATAATACGTCGTCGATATATCTATATGCCAAGTTTAAGGTCTCAGCAAGTGCTTTTCCCCCGTGCATGAGATTTTGAATAAATTCTGCATCATATGAATTAAATATGACTGTTGGAAGACCTGGTCTCTCTTTTCAATATCAACTTCAGAGTATTTGTGTGTACAATCAGAATATTTTTTAACTAAATAATTTTGAAATAAATTTCTAAATTTTACCACAGCAATTTTAAAAATAATAACCATATTTTCAAGCTAGTACCGAAGTACTTAGCTAGTGGGATGTTGTGACCCTCGGGGACTAACAGTCCCCAGCAGAGACTTATACGGTACCAATTTTGATGCATCAGATTCACATTTCGACAAATGATGTCTCTTAGGACTCAGACAACAATGCTACTAATTAGTGAATGTCTTTACATAATAGCCAATAAATCGTCTAGGTCCCAAGATCATAAAAATGACTTAAGTCAATTTTCAATGGCCTATAAATTGTTTAATAATTGTTCACTTTATCTTTTATTTTGCAAATAACAAAAAATTTTATAAAGCAATTATGAAAAATATTTTAATTTTGGACTGCTTAACTTCTTTATCAGTTTAGTACAACATGAAGATTTTGACTTAAGCTTAAGATGCTTCGGGATCCAGGTGCCAATTATTTTATTTTATTATTTTATTTTTTGTATTTATCGAATACAATTTACTTATATCATTGATGGAATCAACAAGATTCCACTTCCCTTAGAGCATGTATATTTCTTGATGACTTTCTCAATGATTCTATTTTTCTTTATTACGGAATCAAAAATTATGTCTGTATGAAAGTTTGTATTCAGCAAACATACAAATCAGTGAACGGCAGTACCATTTTTTCAGATGCATAATTGGAGAACTTTTTTTGTTTGTATGTTGTTTAACGTCCCTCTCGAGAATTTTTCACTCATATGGAGACGCCACCACTTGCCGGTGGAGAGCTGCAAATTTTGTCCTATACTCGGCACTTACGGCCATTGAGCAGTGAGGGATCTTTTTCGTGCCAGCACCTACTGTGCGGTTTATACGGTCTCATCCGAAGTGCGGGTCTCCATGTCCCACAGTGGGATTCGAACCCGCGACGTAAGGATCAACTCCTTACTTCGCAACTCTAGAGCAGAC